CTTTTGTTGTTTAATCGTTGGTCTGCTTTCCATGCTGCGTCTATCCGATACGTTTCACAGTGGACATTTGCATCATCCCCAGTGCTGTGTGATCAAATGCTGTGCTGCCGCGTGGTCACTAACACGCTTGGATGGGAGGAGATCCCTGAGCAGCTGGTGAGAGAGGGCAGCGGCAGCAAAGCCCCGAGATTCCTCAGTGCCAGAGAATTTTCTGTCCTTCTCCCCTTGTTGCCCCAGCATTTAGCATATTCACAATAACATTTTTAATAAAGGGGGGAGTTTCTGCCATGGTAGATCTGGTAGGGCGTTGGATTCCCAGAAAGGGGCACGTTCTGTTCGTACGCTGGAGCCTCTGAGAACAGTGTGCCCTCCCTCTGCAAAATCTGCATTTCATGAACCCCTTTAATTATCAGTCAGAGAGTAAAACTGCACTGCTCTGGGTCGTTCTGTGTTAAGGGTTTTGCTGTTTTGTGGCTTATGGGGATTTACTTGGTTACTTAGAGTTTCTAGATGGGTGCAGAAGCTTAAACATGTAGAATGGGTCTCATTGCCAACATCGGTAGCTCTAGTCGCCAAGCGGTGACCCAAGCAAGCAGACTTGGCGTGCAGTTGAAGGCTGTAGAAGTTGCTTTTCATGCTTGTTAGATGGTAGAGGGATGGAAAATCAGCACTGTTTAAATGCTGGTACTGAATTATATAGAACAAAGTACGAATTGGGCACTTCTGTAATGCTGACTGTGTCCAGAAAGACTAGTTCGCAGAACCTCATACTGGTATCTAAAATGCACTTTAGGTTATTTTTTCTTTAACCCAATTGCTGCAATTTCTTTTGTATATACTTTCACAAAGTTTATTTTTGCTCTGAGTAAAAAGTTAACAGGGGTGTGCAAAGATGAGCACTTAACTTGGTGCAATACTTGTAGCTAAAGATCATTGTCCCGTGTGGTCGGTCTGTCTGTGTCTGTCTAACTGAATATATAGTAACTAGCTCAGTGACATACTGCCCTTCCCTGTCGATACCCAAGAGAAATTATGCATCATTAGCAAACGTCCAATCTATGCAAATATTCCACTGAGAGCACTGTGCTTTAGCAGGCCTTTTCTCTCACGCTTTCTGGTGGGCTGCTTGTCACTTCTGTGGGACACAGCTGTGTTCCTTGGTGTGTGTCCTTTCCCCCTTGTCCTCTGCTCTGTTCCGCCACACGAGTATGAACAGAAGCGACAAGCTGTTCCGAAACGGGCATGTTGCACCTTTAAAATTTGTCTTCGCGAGATCGTTTTTGATGTCATGTTATCTGCCTTACTTCACGGAGGATGGCGCTTCTGCAGTCATCCACGATATTGTTTTTGCAACTGCAACAACATTGTTAAACTGTTTACAGACCTCTTCCTGCACCAATTATAAATAAGGCTCGGAGAACAAACTGAGGACCGGCCTGTTGGTTGTGGAACTGCTGGGGGAGAGTAGTTGAGGCGTCATTGACCTTGGGGCTGACTGGAGATGAAAAGCTGGTCCTGACTGGGGGGAGGAGCGCAGCAGGCAGCTGAAACAAGAGGCAGCCAGGTCCGTGGTGTAGAGCAGACGGGATCTTGGTGTCACGTTCTTTGTTTGGCCGCTGGCTGGCTGCGAGACCTTGGGCAAGTCACCTAAGCTCTCCATGCCTCGGTTTCCTCCCTGTGAAATGAGGACAACGAAACCGGTCTTTGTAAAATGCTTTGAGATCTATGGGTGAAAAGTCCTTGGCGTTAGTGATCTGATCTAGCTGGGCAGAACTGTTAGAGTCAATCTGGACTGTAAGGCAAAAAAAAAGGCATGTCTTTAATAAACCCTACAAATTTCTGATTGCATAGTTTTTAATTGGTACACTATTTTTTCCGTAACATATTTTGGAAACAATGTCAAGTTTTTATAAATGTTACCTGTAGTTGATACTCACGGACAGGGCTGAACTTTTAACTTTTTTGCGTCTTGTCTTGATATATATCATATGTTCTAGAAGTTGGATTCTGTGTCTGCACTGAGAAATGCAAATTAAACTGGATATTTATGTAGTAGTGTACATAGTCTGAGTGTGTGTGTTCTTGGAACTAGTTTAAAAATCCCACACCATGCTTTTGGTGGTGTGCAAGCTGGCCAAAATTTGGTTCATTATGCAGTGTACACTTTCTCAAATAAATGCAGTTTCTACTTTTTCTTACAAGAAATTTTTTTCATATGATCTTTTTCAGCAAAATCAAGGGAATGTTTTTGCAGTACCGTAGTTACAGTAGCTGGTATTTCTTGCTGTGTAGCTTTGTGTCCTTCCACTTGCTTACTGAAGCGGAGCTATCTGTCTGACCCTTGTTTGGAGAGAGAGTTGTAGTCAGAGTTTTATTTCACGCAGACCAGCGTCAGCGCGGCGGGCAGGGATGCGCAAACCTCGAGCCTGGTTAGTTACCGAAGCAGTCTTTCAGCATCGACAGCAGCGTAATTGTCAAACCGGGAGGTCTGGGAGAAGCCTAGGTTGTCTGCTTACTGCTTTTGTTTTGTTTGACACGTATGGGGAGCTGGGCAATGGTCTTGGAGATGACAAAACAGAAGAACCCCAGTTTTTTAAGAATGTGTGTATGGTATTAAAGGAATTTATTTAACTATGAAACATGAGAACATATGTGCTTACATTGAGCAATGTGAATATGTTAGTTACAGGTACAGTACTTCCAAAGGAAGAGCATCTCCAAAACCCAAAAAAGAGTAAATATGAATTTGTATTTTTTGAAGAATGTAAAATGTGAAATAATGGTGTTTGCTTAATTGCTCATTTTGTATGAAGTTAATATTGTACTTTGAAATATCTGCAAAGAAGTGGAAATTAACTTTTTTGGAATTGAAAGCAATATTAATACTAATGGAATCCTAATTAAATGCTTATTTAAACATTGTGTTATAATAGTCTTTCCTCAGAGTATTTATAAATTCTTTGGGAGGTGAGCGTGAGGATCCTTCCCCTGCCCCCTTAGGACAGATCAGGACATGAGGGGATTTCCAAATCCTGACACCCAGCAGCATTTGCCTTGCCTCCCCCGCCAACAGTGACCTTCAGAAACAAACTTCGTATCCTCAAGTTCACTCGGGTATGGATAAGAGTTAGAGCGGGTGTTGGGATTCTACGAATTATTCTTCATTTTTGAAAATGGGAAACGCTGCTGTAGTCCCTTTCATGCAACCACCAGCTGTGTTCGATGCCGGTACCGCGGTGTCAGGCGCCGCCAAGTCACCGTAAGCCATCTGAAGCTGCAGGGGAAGTGAGAAAGGCAAAGTTTCCTGTGGTAAAGACGGTAGTTTTAGTACCTAAAACCTTCAAAGCGGGGAGGCTAAGTACTTTCCAATAAAGAGGATGGGAACTTTGGGGAAAGCTCGTGGCAATAAGGAAAACAGACTGAATCTCCACTCTGAATAAATCAACCTTTCGGTGTAGCAAACCGTTTTCATGTGGCAAAAAACCCCACCCCAACAGCCGAGGGGCACCTCCCACCCCCAGACCTCCAGGCTGGGCCGGCCGTGGTTTGTTCGTACCTCTCGGATCGAGCATCTGTGACTTCAGGATTGTACTTATCATCGGAGACGGAGTTGCTACCCACAAAACAATGCACAGCGGTCGTGCTTCTCCAGCCCTTCTAAAATCCAGTCAGTCGTTACCTAGTCCTGGTCCTGTTAACAGTCGAGGACAGAGTCAACATCCGAGACAAACTGGTGCACCCTGGTTGGAGGCTGTGCCTCCTTCGGTAAGCAGCAGCTAACCTCTACGCAGGCGGGGGGCTGCGATACAGACTAAGCCAATATTGCTTTATTTGAAAGTGCAAATTTAGTAAGATAAGGTATCGGTGCAACAAGAGAAAGCAAAGTCCAAGGCCACAACTGAGGGACTCGGCCACGTTCACTGACTTATCAGTCTTTGGCTTTTCCCCCGGCGCTAACGGGTAAGGCTTTTTCTGAGCCTGTAGCCGAGCAAAAACCTGTGGTGGCTCCTAGCTCTGCGCTGGCACCGCCGTGCTCGGACGAGCTCCCGCAGCCGCTCCCGGGCGCACCCGCCGAGGCTCCGCCGGGCTCC